TAGTCCCTGTACTCACAGAGTTCCAGGCTAGCAGAGAAGAGAATTTAGACAAAATGGCCAACCATGAATTAAATGCACAGAATGTTTACAGAAAAAGAGTTCGGAGAGATGGCTCAGTGGTTAAAAGACTTGCTATGCAAGCATAAAGACCCGAGTTTGGATTCCCAGCGCCCGTGGAAATGCAAAGATGGGCATGGCAGATGGCTCTGAAGGCCGAGAGAAGGGATTCCCAGAGCAAGCTGGCAAGTTAGAATTAATCTTATCAACAAACCGAGTGTAAGTCCTAAGCTTGCCTCAACGAATAAGGTGTACAATGGCTGAGGAACACTCCGGACACCAACTTCAGGACAACAAACCCATGTCCACAAGTAACCTATCACACATATGAAAAAAAAAAAAAAACACCAAGGAAAAAAAAATCACAAAAGAGTTTGTGTTGAACTTCAAAAGATGACCAGAACATCACTAAGGAAGAACAGTGTGCTCAAAATTATGATGCTAGAACAATGCGTAGGACCCTTATCTAATCGCACAGGAGCTGAATAATGACTGTTTATTCTGACTACCTATAATGGATCAGCAACACTAAAGCGTCATAGTACCCTGTTTTACAAATAAAAAGGTCTTAGAAAATCATGACTTATAGAAACCAAGCGTTTCCGGAGACTAAGCAGTGGGTGGGAAAGGCCCTGGCCTTTCTGTGTAACCATTTCTAGGAAACAGTCATTTCCAATAGGAGAACTAAAACACCGAGAGGTTAGATCTCATGGGAGAGACTGGTTGGAACTTAGAATTTTAGCCCAAAGTCCAGGTCGATGTGAAGGAAGGAGTCTCCAGAAAGAGAAGGGACATGTAAATCCAAAGAAGCAGGGAAGGACCTGGGATGTCCCCCAAGAGCCCCAAGAACCAGGAATATACAATATACAGTTACAGAAACAGCAGCAGAAACTGAAGCTACTAAGGCCCTGAAAGATTATGAAAAATAAATTATGCCACACTAAATTATGTAGACTCTGCTCGGGAGATGAGGAGCCAGGCGGAGGATTTCCAGCAACAGAATGAAGAGATCAAAGACTGAGCAAGAGGAGGCAGGGCAACCTGCTATGAGGCAGGGCTTGCGTGACTGAGACGGCACATTGACGTGGTCATGACATTAGGAAAGAGAACCCTTTGGGCTAAGTCTCCTTATCAACATGTGACTACAATGATCAGATCTGTGATAGGGACTGAAGAACTTAGGTCAGCATCTGTGTTGTAGATCTAGATTTTAGATCTAGTCAGCACTCAAAAACAATGAGGATTATACTAACTTGTTTATTGCTATTACTGCTATGCTATAAATATATTGAAACCCAACTTTGGTCTTTCTGAAGGAAGGACACATTCAGTAGACTTACTGGTGTTGTTTTACTGAGGTTGTTTAAAAAGTAAAAAATAAAATAAAAAGGGCTCTTTGTTTGGTTTGTTCAGACATTGTAGATCAACCAGTATCAAACGGCAGAGTTTCAGGACTACAAAGTAGGTATCAGCAATGTCATGATGGTAAGGGTTCAGTTCACCAAATACATCTATCCTATCGTATGTCTCACACTGCCTTAAAGGCATGTACCACCATGCTTGGCCTCTCGTTTACAACACACACTTATCCCTTAGTTGTTTGCATTACAACTGTAATCTTGGTTCCTTTACCCTCATCTTATAGTAGTGGAGTCTCCATGATAAAGCTAAAATCCATGTCTGAATAATTAACAGAATGTTTTAAGGATTTTACAAGACCCCCTTTACAAAATTCCTCCTGTGCCTTTCCCAAAGCTGGCTAGCTACCATTATTTCCCTCCAGGTTATATTAGAAGTTCCTAAGCTCAACTTATTTTTTTTAAAGGGGGTATCAAGGATTTGTTAGGATAGACTCATGGATACAGAACAAGGTAGATAGCTGCATGGCCCCCTGTTCTGCCTGGGGGAGAATGGAACCAGCAGTCCAATCTCCAACCACCACATGAGGGAGAGCAAGCAACTGTGCCCCCAGCCTTTCCTTTTAAAACGTCAGGTAGGCAGACAAGAAGCACAGCTTCTATCAGGCTAGATAGCCCAAGGTTATGGGCAGAGTGAATAACCACCACATTTGCCCCTTTTGTCTAAATAAGAAGGTTCTAAACCTAATACAAAACTGTATACAATAAGAACAATTATCAAACATTGTCAAGGAGAAAGAAAGGGTAATAACATACACAAAAATAGAACTACAACCAACAAGAGCAACATTAAGTAAGAAACACATAATAAATGTTCATATCATAGGTGAATGCAAATTACAGAAATTACTCTGAGAGCTGTCCTACCCTGCAGAATCTGAGTCTCATACCTGATATGCTCTTAGTTAAGATATGAGAGGATTGTAACTGTGACCATCTGGTCTTCAACCCCATCAAAGACCTGAGAAGGAAAATAATATTACCAGAGTAAGCAGGAAGTGCAAGCAAGGGACCCCCAACAGACACAAGAAACGACAGAACCAATCACTCAAAGACTCTGCAACATTTGGGGTAACAAACTTTGGCTATAGGTCTAGAATATCTGAGAGACCATTTTCAGAAGCAGAAAACTTTGAAAGACTGGTTCTACCCTGTCATGGCAAGGTTCAACCGTCGCCTTTCCCTGTATCCTGCTTGTCCAGATTGGACAGCCTGTTTACTGTCCAATCTGTCCAACTGTCAGCAGTTGTGCCAAGGACAGTTCTTTGCCTATTATGCCAGTTTTGCCAAGAAGAAAACAAACTCCATATGGAGAGTCTTCAATGCCCATCATTCTCTTGGGAGTGGATTGGTGCTGCCAAGAGCAGTCATCTCACATCAGCAGAATTCTAAATTATTGAAACATTTAAGTGCCATATTTTGTAGGTCTTTGAAGTGTTTGAAGATTACCTATCTGTGTGGCATACATCTCTGTGCCTCTGTGCATCTAGAGAACCTAACTAACACTATAAGTATGACAAATGTGAGTGACTATTAATATGTAATTCTTTTTTGTTTGCTTGTTTGTTTTGGGTTTTTTGTTTCTTTTTTTATTGATTTTTATTGAGCTATATTTTTTTCTGCTCCCCTCCCTTCCTCTCCCCTGCCCTTCAACCCTCTCCCGTGGTCCCCATGCTCCCAATTTACTTGGAGATCTTCCACAAATATTCTTAAAAGGGTCAGATAGTATATAGTTCAGGGTTTGTGAGACAGATGGTAAGTTACTAAGTTAGATACCTAAGACCTAAAAGATAATACAAATTAATGTGCACAGTTGCCAATAAAACTTTATTTACAATAACAGGTGGCAAGCCTTCTGATCTGCCCTCTGTTCCTCATATTGTAGTCAGGGAAAGCTGTTTCTAAATGTCAATCCTCTGTTTAAATGCTAAATGATTTCCCATTGAATGCCCTCAGGATAAAGGTCAAATTTCTTAACTGGATTAACAAATTACCTCCATTAGCCTCCTTTCTAACCACTCCCCAGTTCTAACTCATTTTTCATCAATATTTATCTACTTTAAAACCCAACAGTTCCAAGTTTTCTCTTCTTTCTACACAACTGTAAACGATGCTTTGGGAGCCTCAGATTCTGTTCTCAGCAGCCACACTCCCCACCGCTCACCCTCGGCCTGCAGCTCAACTGATGCCGCTTACCTATGTTACAGGTCCCACATTACACATGGCTTCTCCCAGGAAGCCTTCAGTGACTCCTCTCAAGCTCTCAAAGTGCTGAGGTTGCTGGTTCGTGGGGTGAATCTCCTATTAATCAGAATCTCTGGGAGATGACTGTGAACTCCCAAGCACTCAGAAAATAACTGGTGAGCACAGAGGGTTGTGTGTGTTTGTTTGTTTAACGTAAGAGTAAGGGAAGAAAGGGAGCGGTGTGCCGAAGGTGAAGGTGGAAGGGGTTGGGGGGGGGGGGCAAGTGGTAGACAATAAACTGGGATTGCTAGGTCTTTTTGAAGTCGCTGGTAGAGCAGGTTCTGCTTGCTGTCATGGTTCCCACAGAGGCTTAGGAAGCATTCATCCCAGGGTTTCCCAATACGGTGACCAATACAAAGCAAATTTGGCCATTTTCCTCTGAGTGACCTTGGCTTGGGCTTACTTTGCTAACCAGCATTCAGATATCAATATGTGGTCACATAGTCTATGCTCCAGGGCTTCCTGTAGTCTTTGTTCAACTCTCCCATGAACACTACAGAGATGCTCTTTGTTACTCGCCCTTTGCACTGACAAAGCTACTGCAGGAAGAAGCAACAGGCACAGGAGCAGAACAAGCGGTGGAGCTGGGCCGTGAGGGAGGAGACGCCTGACCGTCTCCAGGGCTCACTGCTACCGCTCAGCTCTTTGCAGGAAGCAGGGCCACGTCCATTTTCACCTCTCTGGATGTCGATCTTCTATGCCTCTGCTGCAAGTCTCACCCTGGATTTTACGGACAGCGCAGTTGCATCCAGCCTAGTTATCACATTTGTTCCACAAAGCATTGGCTAAGTACTGTTCAGGTGTCAGAACAGGCAAGTTTCACAGACCTACATTTACCAAGAAAAAAAAAAAAAAACACCACCACCAAGACGAAAAAGGTTATCTCTGCTTTGCAGATGAGGACATGCAGGCACAAGGAGACAAAGAGGCACAAGGATATTTTCCAGGGATGCCCACCTGGAATTGCAGCACTCAGGAAGCTGAGGCGGAAGGATCGCAAGTTCAAGCCTACATATCAAGGCCCTATCTCAGAATCAAAGAAAACCTCGTTTAAATGTGATCCGAGTCACACAGAAACAGTCTATACGCGTAGCTACAAAGAATACAGGTACAGGGAGAAGCAGGCCACAGTCGTCCTCAGACGGGTGGAAGTGTGCTGAAGCTGAACAACTCAGGCTTCAATAAACCTTGATAGGAGATAAGGGAATAGAGACTTGTTGCTGCCAAATAAACTATCATAAATGTAGTGACTTCAACATTCACTTATCAGCTAGCAATTCCATGAGTCAGTATTGACCTGGACTTGGAGATTTCTCCTGTTCTCAAATGGCCTTAACTCTGTATTGACAGTTAGCTGGGAGCTCACTGGGGACTTGATGATCCAAGATGGTCTTTCAGGTGATTGGGAACAGATCACATTGATGTTCAGAGCTCTTCTCTGGAGAGTCAATGCTTGCTTTGCCTTTTCCTCTCAGCATCTTGAAAGTTCTTAATAGATTTGGAACAAAGAATCCACTGGCCTGGGCAACTTCTGCTGCCAGCTCATCTGGTCACTGCTGCTGGTGTCTGCTGGGTGTCTTTCTCCATGTCCCCTCCCGTCCTAGAAAGGGTCACCCTGGTTTCTTTCCACGATGACAGGAGAAGGAGAACAACGTCTCTGAAGGCCTAGCCCAGAATTTCCAGATTATTTTTGCTGCATTGCTCAGCCTCCCGGCTGCTTAGATACAAGGAGGCGGAAGCCTGAATTCCACCTTTTGATAGGAAGAAAAACCAGAAGAACAACAATGTCCCAAGCTAAGTCTGCTTCTCTGGCCTTCTTCATTTGTAAATAAAGGTAAGTTACTAACCTTCTAAAACCGTCCACTGCCCTTTTCCTAGGAAGAGAATATTTAAAGTGTCATGTTTCTTTTGGGGGCGTGGTTGCATGAGACTCGGGGGTGCCCAGAGATCACACTCCTACCCAAATTCTCACAGGCCAACTACCGCAGCGGCACAAGTTAAATGGTTTATTTCCTGGAGAATCAAGAGGATCCACACAGAGTGTGGAAACCAACAAAGGCCAGGCCAGAAATACCTTAATGACAGGTATAAGGAAAAGCCCTACCCAAGTAGGGAAGGTTAACAAGTGGGTGAGTTTGAATGGATGAAAGCTATGGGTCAGCAACAGTCAATCTGACCAAAGACAGGCAGGCTCAGCTGAACTCGTGGCTGCCTGCTATCCAAAATTCCTAACAGAAGACACGGTGACTCTAATTCTGAAACTTCATGCAAGTTTTTTTTTCTCAAAGGACTGAGAGCAAATTAAGGACAATGGGTGACTCTGGGAGGAGCTGGGGAGGGGAGGTGTAATCAAAACACAGTGTGTGAAATTCTCAAAGAATGGATAAAAAGGGTTGAGGTGGGGCTTTTTGTTTCGTTGGATTCTTTCTGTTCTTACTTTTGGGTGTTTTTTGTTTGTTTGTTTTTGTTGTTGTTTTTGTTTTGTTATGTTTCTGTTTTGGTTGCAAAGAAAGCAGGATCTCTTTTTCTTCTACAAAAAGCCCCAAAGGTCTTTTAAGGAGGGAGAAAAGCTCTCCTCTAGCAGAGCAAAAATGCCCAAAGAAAAGAAGGTCAAGGGAAGGAAGTGGCCCTGGCCCTCAGCGTTGTGAAGAAGCGGGAAGCCAAAAGGTGGCGAGTCCTCTCTGAGGAAAGGATTGAGAACTTCTGCATTGGACGGGGCATCCAGCTCAAAACAGACCTCACTTGCCTTATCAGACAGCCCGGCTACTCAGGCTGCATCATCACCAAGGGCCACCCTCTATAAGTGTCTCAAACTACCTCCTGCCATTAATCAGTTCACTTAGGCCCTGGACCAGCAATCAGCTACCCAGCTGTTTAACCTTGCCCATGAGGAGAGGCCAGAGACAAAGCAGGAGAAGCAGAGGTGGTTGGCGATGGGGACATCCCAACCAAGAGACCACCTGCCCTTCGAGCAGGACAGTCACCACCTTGGTGAAGATCAAGAAGGCGCACCTCTTGGTGCTTGCCCGCGACATAGACCCCACTGAGCAGTTGATCTTCCTGCTTGCTCTGTGTCTCAAGATGGCGGTACTCCGCTGCATCATTAAGAGGAAGGCCAGGCTGGGGTGGCTGGTGCCTAGGAAAGCATGCACCACTGTGGCCTTCACACAGGTTGACTCATAAGACAAGGGAGTTCTCTGGCTAAACATATGGAAGCTATCTGGACCAATAACAATGACAGATACCAGGAGATCTGCTGCCACTGGTGGTGGTGGTGGAGGATGGGTAATGTCCTGAGTCCTAAATCTGTGGCTCAAACTGCGAAGCAGGAATAAAGCAGAGGTCAAAGAAGACACTTCTGAACTGGATTAAGTGTCCACTGTTGAGTTTTCTGTTCATAAAGATAAATAAAAAAATTACCCTTAGAAAAGAAAAATATTTTTTAAAAACAGAAAAATGTATTTTGTAGAGAAATAAGTAGATTTTGATTTTACAGAAAGCAAATGCTTCTTATTGCAATGTCTACATCTGTTATAGGTAGAGCAGGACTGAGCCACCGTTTGGAGCTTGGTCTTTTAATCTTATTCATAGGGTTTGACTAAATGCTCACTCAGTCTGAGTGATGACGTCTGAAGCATGATGATATGAAATAAGTAAAAGATGAAACCTTTGGTGGAAAATGGCTGAAAAAAAAAAAAGATGAGTTTCCCAAACTGAACAGTTTAGAAAGAAGAAATACAAGCCTGGAGAGAAAGCTTACGGGGAAGGATTTCAAAGAACGCCTGCGAGCCCTTCATCCGGAAGGTTTTTCTCTTGAGTGGAGTTATTAGCTCCTTTAGAAAGAACCCTGTGGGCTGGGGATGAAGGGGTGCCTGCCTATACTCTCAATCCTTATGAGGTTGAGGCAGAAGGATGGTGATGTCACCAGACTGGGACACACAGTGAGACACTGTATCAATCAATCAACCAATCCCTGGAGAACTGGATGACTCCATCTGATACACCACCCTGTGCTCAGTTTCCATCCCATGACATAGTCTGGCAGCATAAAAATAGACTTGGGAGTAGAAAAACACGTTATCCCAGGGAGAAAAGCCGTGGGTAAAAACTGCGGTGCCATTTTTAAGTGATTAGGCTGGTGGAGGTTACAGAAGTCAATGAGCCAGGCTGACTGAGGGAGGGCATTATTGATTTTTGTCTTTATTTTTTAATGAGAAAGATTTAAGAGTGTTCTACTGGCTAAGAGTAAGAACACAGTTGACAGTCGCCGGGTCAAGATGAGGGAGAGGAAGCAAGGACCGCATGGTGGAGGAAAGAGAATGGCTTCTTCCAAGCTTTTAGTTAAAATACAGGATCCATTAGCAGACGGGCCAAGTATTACAAACTGTTAAACTGTTTTCCGGGGCTCATTTCTCTCGTGTTCAGCTTTCTCGAGGTAAACAAATAGTAAAGGGTCCACCTGAGTTCTGGGGTAGAAGAGGAGGCAATCTTCAGCAAGGAAAGTGTTAAGGCGTCTAAGTTTTATATATTTTTTAAATGTTAGTAAAGCCTGTTTTCATTTAAAAAAAAAATGAGAAGGGATTCGAAATGAACAGGGCATCTAACGTTGATAAATGATGAACAGCATATTTAATATGTCATGGTTACACTGAGAAGAATAACTCTAGAGGATGAGGGGCTGAAAAGTCAAAGACTGAAGTTCATATCCCAGCACCCATATGTTACATGTCCCACATGTCTGTAACCCCAGTATGAGGCAGAGCGGCCCCACGGGGACTTGTTTGCTCTCAGCCTGGCCCAAAACTGTGAGCTCCACATTCAGGAATAAGGCTGAGCAAGATGAAGAGGGTGCTCAACACCTTCTTCCAGCCTGCACTTACGTGCACACCATGCACATACAGACACCACACACACACAATTAAAAAGTAATAAAACCCATTTAGTCATGTTGCTCAGTACATGTATTGATACTTATACAAAAGTTCCAAGAGAAAATAACACTGACCTTTAAGTGGCACCTCTGAAAATTCTGTTTTTCTGATCCCCTTTGCTTTTCTGCATTAAGTACTGTATTAGTCAGGATTCTCTAGAGTCACAGAACTTACGGAATGAATCTCTCTCTCTCTCTCTCTCTCTCTCTCTATATATATATATATATATATATATATATATATATAAAATATGTATTATATGATATATATTATATATATTAGATAGACAGATATAGACATTAATAGATAGATAGATAGATAGGTAGATAGATAGATAGATAGATAGATAGATAGATAGATAGATAGATAGATAGATA